GTTAATTGGCTGCGATTCCTCTTCACAAGGATCGCTGACGACTCGTTTGAGTGAACGACTAAGCAGTGATGGTGAAAACAACTTCTTCAAATCCCAGATGGAGTGCTATACGGAAGAGGTCAACTACTTGCTGTCTGTTGTCCCAGAGGGCAGAGTTAGATTTCAGAGCTTCTATACAGTTTCACTCAGAATAATTACCCCCTGCTAGCTGAAGCCCATGGAGTTAGATCTGCTGGGCTTATTAAACTAGAAGGGGTTAAATCCGGATGAAATTTTGTACAAACATCTGATGATAAGAACCATTGGATAGTGGTCCAAAGTACTTCGAAGAGCGGGAGTCTCTTTAGCAATGGAAGCCATCAAGTAGAACTTTTGGATAATCATCTGTCGAGATTGCTCAAGTTCTGGATTTCCTGCATGGAGCGTAGACTTTAATGACCCTTTTAAATTCTGTGGTGCTAGTTCCGTTGGTCAAACCCTATTAGTCAAAGAGAGGCCAAATGTGGTCCCTCCTTTCGGGAATGTGCTGATACGTGGGTGTGAACAACCTTCTATAGATGGAGGCCGGTCTATACATCCACCCCAGTTGCATATGTATACAGTATATAAATAATGCCACACATATCATGTGTCACCTTGTCTGTGGTGAGGCCCTCCTGTGAGGTACGGCCTAGACTTAATGGCCATAATGGGCCACTCCCTTGAGGGGCCTGGCTAGGGGATGAAGGAAATTATTGTCCAATATGTAACCTTTCCAATCTCTGGAAGTACTGCAGGAAAAATGGGAGGAAGTCAACAGTGACATACTTCAGTTGTTGTGGGTTTTTCGGGCTCTTTGGCCATGTTCTGAAGGTTGCTCTTCCTGACATTTCGCCAGTCTCTGTGGCCGGCATCTTCCAGAGCATGGACAGAGTTCCTACTCCTGTCCTCTGAAGATGATGGTCACAGAGACTGGCGAAACGTCAAGAAGAACAACCTTCAGAACATGGCCAAAGAGCCCGAAAAACCCACAACAACCATCAGATCCCGGCCATGAAAGCATTCGAGAATACAGTGACATACTTTATTTGTTAGTGGAATGGCTAATATTGATGATTTTGTACAGGAAGTCCTCCATGATGGCCAGGTTTGGTGGGAAGGAGAGCCCCCCTCCCCCTGAGTCTGGACTCAGCTTCTGAGCCTGTCTCCATTTCCCCTCTGGCTACCAGGCTTTGTCAGGCTGAGGGCAGTTCCACCCAACGCCACTCCTTTCTGAGACAAAACTGGTGACTTCTTTGCCATCCCTTGACGCCAGCGTGGCCTTTCAAGCCATCGAGGCAGGAGGCAACACAAGGAAGCGGCCGGCGTGGGCACCTTCCTTCAGGGCCGGAACACCTTTCCCATGTCAAGCGCTCCTCTGAGGAGCAACAGAGGAAACGGTTGACGCGTGCCGTTGAGTCAAGGCTATTACAAAATGCGCCGAACACTGAGCTAAAAAGGGAGCAAAGGTTGCATCACTCTTGTCATAACAAGACTTGCGTGGGAAAGAGAACTGTAAAAGAGAGATTATGAAACAGAACATGTACTCCCTCTTGGTTCCAAACACCAGGGAGAGGACTTTCAAAGCACATCGGTGTGCACTGCCTCCCTGTTGTTCCTTCCCCCGGATCCCAGATGAAGTGGTACTTCTCAGCTGTGTTTCAGAAGCTGCGTCCAGACTCAGGGGGGAGGCTCTCCTTCCCACCAAACCTGGTCATCATGGAGGACTTCCTGTACACAATCAATATTAGCCATTCCACGAACAAATGAAGTTAGTTTTTTGGATAGCCCATTTCCACAACCGTCGTGAGACACAGAGGCTGTGCCGGCAATGATTCTACTTGCAACCGTGCTCCCTGATGTGGATGGAGCTCAGTACCGTGGGATCATCCAAAACAATGGGAAGGAGGCAAAGCCAAGGACGGCTGCCATAAAGCCTACGGTCACAGAACAATGCAGTCTAATTTCTCCAGTAATAAAAGGTCGCTGTTTTGTTCTTTTGAAGTGGCCGGTGACCGTTGCTTATTTTAAAGCTCTTTTGTGTGTTGGCACTACAGTATGAGCTACTCTAAACAGGAAGCTGTAGATGTGCCTCATTGTGTGCAAAGAGTGACTTTCTCTCGGAGCCCCACCGTTCGTGTAAACTTAACGATTGTGATGCCTAGAGATCAAAGGGGAACACTTGACAGTTTGGAGAGGAACTGAGCCGTTGCCATGTAATGAGGCTCGTTTTCTTCCTGCCCTGTTCTAGCAGGATAGATTGCTTCCTTCTCACAGCATGTATGAATCACGTACAGTGGTGCCTCGCAGCGAAATCGCTGTAGAGCAAAATCCTCACGTACAATGGTGCCTCGCTTAATGAGGATAAGCCGTTCCAGCGAAATCGCTGTAGAGCAAAATCCTCGTTAAGCGAAAATAAAAAACCTATTGAAATGCATTGAAAACCCATTCAATACGTTCCAATGGGCTGAAAACTCACCGTCCAGCGAAGATCCTCCATAGGGGTAGCCATTTTTGGTGCCTGTAAAGCGAGGAATCCATCCAAAAACACAGCGGGGGGGGCATTTTAAACAGCGGGGGTCCATTTTGAAGCTGTCGATCAGCTGTTTTAAAATGTCGTAATGGGAAGAATTGTTAAGCGAGGCACCACTGTATCTTCTCCCTTCCCCCATATATACAAGAAAAGTGAGTGTGTAAAGAGGAATAAAATTTCCCAAAACTTGGTGGTGTATGTCAACCACATTATCTGTTTGGGCAGTGGCGGTACGTTTTCAACAGTGGGTCTTCATCATTTTGATCCCTGTAGCCACACCTCCAAGGTGAGTCCCAAAATTTAAGCAGTCATCTTGGTTCACGAAACTGTGGTTCAGCATTTGCCCCAGTGGGCAACAGGGTGTAAACAGAGATGACCTGAGACTGTTCAGTGGTGGAACTTGAACTGAAAGTGTATTTAAATCACACCAGATAAAGAGGGAAGAAGATCCATGAGAAGAAGGGACAATACAAAAGAAATCAGAGGAAAATCAGTACATGTCAGACAAAACACCATAATGACATGAAAAAGTATAATGCAGAACAATCTGGACTGAAATACATTAAGATCGTGGTATCTGCGGGGGATCAGTTCCAAGCTGTTAAACACGCACACGCACACACGCACACAAACTCCAAAATTGGTATATTACCAGAATTGGCCACCAGAGGGAACCAGAGACTATGCCATATATAGTCTCTGGTTCCCTCTAGTGGCCAATTCTGGTAATGCACCTTGGAACAATGTATTTCTGGATGTGGGTGTGTTTTTTCAATGATCTTTTCAAGCACTCATAAGTGAAACCATGGGTACAGATCCTACAGTCTTACTGTATCGCATGAATTATAGTTATGCAAAATTAGCCTCAGATAACCCTTTATAAAACACAATATTTGTCTCTAATCTTCCACCAGCCTCCAAGCCAAGGCTTATTGCGTTCTAAACTGTTTATCAGCCTGTGGCTTAAGGATTTAGGAAGAAAGATATACTGTATCACAGGTTCCCAATTAAGTGGAGAAAACCCAGAGGTGGGTTCCTTTTACAGGAAGTAGAGAACTCTCGCTGGTGCAAAACACTATGAGAATTTACTTGAATACTCTTTGCATTCTTCTCGGGAGGCTCAGAAACTGGATGTAACAGCTCCCGCCCTCCTCTTTAAAAATCCCAGGCATTTGCTCTGAGAAGAATCTTGCAGAAGGCCCAGTGATGAACAGCAATGAACCTCTGTCCTTCCCGCTCCAATTGCACTTGATGAATGTGCATGCAGTGTCTGGGGTCCTTGTAAAAGATAGCTCTATTTTATTGTAATACAGTTTTGATTTACTTGCAGACTTCTTTTTTATTTATTTATTTCCACCTCCTTATGACTGGCCTTCTAAACTCATTGATGCTGGTAGTTTTCTCTTTCTGCCTTGACTCATCTCTAATGTGGATGATTCATTTTCCACTCTGGCATATTACATGTACGTGGTACTGCCATGTATTGAGTCAGATTTTGTTCAGTTGCAAACAAGAGGACTGATTTGCTGCTTAAGATCTACCAGACAACCAGTTGCCAGAAACCATCTCCGTGTTGTGGGTATTCCCTCGTTGCTCACCTTGTGCTATAAACCTAAATACAATGATGTAAGCTGCCCTGGGTCCTTTTAAAGGAGAAAGGTGGAGTAAAAAATATTTTCAATAAATCAACAGAAGTAAATAAATCTTAGAATGGAACTGCAGAGTTGGAAAGGGACCTTATGGATAATCACGTCCAACCTTTGTCAACGAGGCACTGTGGAGATTCAGATTTAAACTTTATGGACACACAATATGTGAAACATAAGAAAAATTAAAGTGAAATTAAAATGTTAAGATCATGAGACTGTTTTTGACCAGAAAGGCTGCTTCAATAGCATTATCTTGTCCATTTGCTCAATCTCCTTTTGTACACGTAGTGGGGTGTACATTGTGTGCACATAAGTGCTGAATTCATTGAAATTCTCCACTGTCATAGAAAATATGACCTGTATCAGAATAGCCCCATTGAACTTGATCATATTCTGATCCTGCAGGTGACAAACAGATGAAAGGAGTTGACTTTCATCATGATTCCCAATGAGAAATGGAATTAAGCATATTTTAAGGTGGATGTTAAATGGAAATATAATTTGGTCAATTGATTGCCAGGGTGGGGAGAGTGATCTGAAGTGGAAGCAAATATACACCCTTCTGCCAGAGTTTCCCACTCACACCCACCTACCCCAGATTAGTGCATTCCCTTGCTATAATTTGCTAGAGGAAAGATTTAATGCTCCTTTTGTCCCATCGTTCCTAGTATGAGGAGGGGATGGAAAAACATATATGTCATGTATGCTAAGCTTTTCTTCCACTCAATCTATATACAGCTCCCAGTCTGATCAATTACAGAGATGTAATAATTTGTGTATTTAATTTTCTTTCATATCAGAAAGGCTCTGGCGTCCCCATCCTGCAAAGATCGCTTGCCCCGAGATGCTTTAGAACTAGGTACGTTCTACTGAGAGAGGCTGTCTTCAATTACGTCGCTTTCTTCATTTTCAATTAGATTTAGATTTTAATTTAATTAGAATCCTGTTGCTGTTCATGTTGTAAGGTTTGGGTAACTTGCCCGAGTTAATCGTGGCCAATTAATGAGGTGCTGGGCCATGTCTCAGTTGTCATGGGCCCCATGGGGCAACTGAGAGGTAGCCCAGCAAGCTACACAAACCTTCTTTTCTATTCTGCCATGCGCAATGAGTCCTTGAAGAGAAGAATTCTTGGGTAAAACATCAACATATGAGATTCTGTGCCATCTTTCCACAAGAGGCTTGTTTATTTCACCCAGATCATCTTCTGTTTCTGAGACCAGTGACTTTGTCCGTGCACGGGTTTGTAAAGATTATTAAGGAAGGATCACCAGACATCATCTCCCTCCTCCCCCCCCACAAAAGCCACTGGCACAAATCATCATGTGTAATGTATGGTAGTTTCAACAGAAGGCTTGTAAGTGGAAATGGCACCAAGCTGTTCACCAGTAGCTGGAAGCAATGGAAAAACTTTCCTTCCTTCCTTCCTTCCTTCCTTCCGTCCTTCCTTCCTTCTATCCATCATCTGCTCTTCCTTCCTTCCTTCCTTCCTTCCTTCCGTCCTTCCTTCCTTCTATCCATCATCTGCTCTTCCTTCCTTCCTTCCTTCCTTCCTTCCGTCCTTCCTTCCTTCTATCCATCATCTGCTCTTCCTTCCTTCCTTCCTTCCTTCCTTCCGTCCTTCCTTCCTTCTATCCATCATCTGCTCTTCCTTCCTTCCTTCCTTCCTTCCTTCCGTCCTTCCTTCCTTCTATCCATCATCTGCTCTTCCTTCCTTCCTTCCTTCCTTCCTTCCGTCCTTCCTTCCTTCTATCCATCATCTGCTCTTCCTTCCTTCCTTCCTTCCTTCCTTCCATCCATCCATCCATCCATCCACTCTAAAAAAACAGGCTCTCCTTTCTTTAACATTGCCTGTAAGCCACACTAGAGTAGGCCCATTGGATCAGTAGGAATTTGGTGAGTCGACCCCTGTGTAAGTCTCATTGATTCAAATGAGCCTACAATAGTCCTGTAGCACAGCAAGTTGCAACTAGAGTAGGACCTTTTGAATCAAACTTAGAGGCGTTGACTCACCAGATCACCACTAACCCAACGGGCCTACTCTAGTGTGACTTAATATGCTAAGTAACAGGATTCCAGGCAATGTTAAAGAAAGGCGAGCCTGTTTTTTTAGAGAGAAAGAAAGAAAGAAAGAAAGAAAGAAAGAAAATGAAAAAGAAAGAAAGAAAGAACTGCAACCCATCATTAACCAGTGAGCACCTCTGGTTCCCCAAACATTTCCACTTTATTTTGCCACCTCTCGCACGCACATGTACAGTACAAGGGGAGATGTGGGCAAAACTTTGGAACAATGCTAATCAAAGAATAGTCCAAGCTTTGGATTCCCCTCACAATTTCTATTCTAATACTTGGTTTTCAGAGAAATTGATGCAGGGATGGATAGCCTCTTTCCCAGCCTATAGAAAAGAAATTTTGCATGTTCATACATCCTTCCCTCAGACATCTACTGGTTTCATTGGGGCTGTGGTATAATGAATCTAAATTACGGGCCAGAAGCTAAAACTGGCTTTGCTGAAAACTAAGGAACTGCTTGAGATAGAAGGGCATTTATTTGAGATATTCAACAGTAATTTCATTCTCCCTTTTCAGAGGATGTAGAGGATGAAGGACTGGTGGAGGAGGCTTACAAGATGCCTGACCATTCTGCTCTCAACATGCTGCAAGTCGCATCCAAGCCCATTGACTTCTCCCTTGCGAGAGTAAGAGATTTATTCGTTTTTTCTCCAGTCTTCCCTACACCCCGAACCCCATTCCTTTCCACCGTTTAGGTCTCAAACTCAGCTCTTTGGGAAGAAGGTTCCTTCCATGCTTGACGACCTCTGATCCTTCAACAGTTAATGAGATGAGGTTAAATAGGAAATCCTTTGTTAGCTATCTGTTGCTGAAGGTTACTCTGGTGAATGTGTCTTATCCTATGGATTGGGTAGCCTAAGAACCTCCCATAGTTGTGGACGATAATGCCCATCATCCCTGCCTATGAGCCATGATGTTGCAAATCTCGGTCCAACTCTAGCGACTACACCACACCACAGCCCCAGCCTCATGGTCTGTGCTCAGAGATGATAAGAGCTGTTTCCTCATCATGCCCAGCAGACCGTTTGTCCCTTGTTCTCAATCCATTTGGAGTGTAAGTTTTGTTCTACCTTGGCAAAAGGTGAGAAAACCCACAAAACCGACAGGGATGGGAAACTGACCATCTTAATTTTATAATAATTATCGTATGCCATCAAGTCGATTCTGAATTATGTTAACCTTTGTCATGGTTTTCTAGCTAGACTCGCATAGGTTCCCAAACTTTTTTTGCCACGTAGACTACTTGCCGTCTTATTTGTTTTCTGTAGACCCCCCCCCTCCCAATGCAATCATTGATATAAAAATTTGTACTTACTTTTCTTAGGCACTCCTAAAGAAGATGATTTTGAGTCACTTGACTTTTACCTATTTTCAATCTATATTTTTGAACATATTTTTAAGCCACTTTTCTTCTCAAAACTCAGAAAGCAACCCAATGTCTCTAACGCTCCTATTGATCAATTAGGAGTCAAACAAGTCCATGCAAAGCTTTGATACAAGTCTAAACAAGTACGTACGCATGCGATGTGTGTGCCCGTATAGCTCAGTAATGAGAAATGACGAAATGTTGTTGATCCCATTTATAACACACTGAGATTTACCATAAAATTTTACCAATAATTTTACGAACTTACAAATGTAGCACACCACAATACAGATAGTACATAATACCTAAATAAATAATATTATGAAATAATATGTACACAGAATCTGTGTTTGGTGTAATTATGGATTGCCTAAATATTTACTATGATCTGCCTAATGGGATCTGCTCACGTAGACCCCCATTTACACCTTGTGCACCCCCAATTTTTTTTCTCTCTGACGTGGACCCCCTGCAAGTTGAAATCGACCCCTGGGGGTCCATATAGACCACTTTGGGAACCTATGAGCTAGAGCAGTGGTCCCCAACCTTGGGCCTCCAGCTGTTCTTGGACTACAACTCCCAGAAGCCTTTTCACCACCACCTCTGCTGGCCAGGATTTCTGGGAGTTCAAGTCCAAGAACATCTGGAGGCCCAAGGCTGGGGACCACTGAGCTAGAGGATACTCAGATGTGTTTTACCCTTCCCTTCCTGTAGGGGCACTGTGGGACCGTGCAGCTTGCCCAAGGCCACCCAGGCTGGTTCTTCTCCCAGGAGGCCCCGTGGAGGGAATCGAACTCAGAACCCCTGGTTCCACAGCTAGCTACCTAAACCACTGAGCTATCCAGCCAGCTTATATCTGTGCTGATGATCTGTTTTACATGCATTTCATTACAACTGGAGAAATATCTATCTAGCTACACACACACACACACACACACACACACTCCACGTCATTAAAACTGCAAATGATTGTTCTCCCCACTCCGTTCAATTGTATCTGAGAGAACCTGGGATGCTGGACAAATTCTATGAAAAGACGGTTGTGCCCTTTCCGACTTTAGATCCACGGTCGCTCCTCTGCCCCAACAGAGTTCCGCTTTGTTTTTCAAGAATCGGCACAGCCTTCCTGCAAATGATTAAAGAGCATTTGAGCCCCAGCGGCTGGGCAGCCAAAGCCTCGTGTGGTTGCGGCCACACAGAACAATTTATGCTGGGGGAACATCGGGAGGAAAGGAAACGATGACTCCTTAGCTGAATAAGCTGGCTGGATACAGTATTTATAACACAGAAATTAAAAAGGCGGCTAGGGAGTCTTCGGCGTTGTGCCACTGTTTTCCTCCCCACAGACCAGAAAATGGTGGCAATGAAAATATGTATGCCTGAGTACGGATGAAGACCGAGAAGGGAGAGCCATCAAGAACCCGAGCATCTATTTTTAAGTGAAAATGGGATCCTACATTTCATGTTCATGTTCTCTATTCTTTCTTTCTTTCTTTCTTTCTTTCTTTCTTTCTTTCTTTCTTTCTTTCTTTCTTTCTTTCTTTCTTTCTTTCTTTCTTTCTTTCTTTCTTTCTTTCTTTCTCCCCCTTCAAGGAGCTGAAAACGCTCTTCTTTGGCTCCAGCCTGGGCTGTTTCAGCAAGGAATGGAAAATCCAGAGCTTTGCATTTAATGACAACCCTCAGCTGAAGTACGGCATCGTACAAAAAAAGGTACCAGAAAAGGGCCAAGTCTTGTTTTAGAAGCTGGTGGACTAGGGGAGTTTTCCTGGGTTGAAATGCTCACGTGCCTGTAAGTAAAAGTTTTGGAGAATGCAGGAGAACCTTTCCACAGCCCACCCATGTAGCAGTGGCTCATGGAGAATGAAAATGACACCAAGGTGGTTTTCTAAACTCTGTAATTCACAACTGGGCAATGGGGCACCTGCAATATTGGAACATCACACAGAAAGAAGTGGGGCTATTGTGCACGTATATAATCACCACAAGGAGCTTAGAGGAAACAGATTTTCCTTTATATAAAATGCAAGGCTGGACAACTGAGTTGGTGCACAACAATCTCCAAGATTCCATGTTGTAGTTACACATCTATTAAGCTGTTGTTAAATTAACCAGAAAGCAAATCTGTGTGTGCTTTCAAGATCTCCAGGAAGTATTGAAAGCTCACATCGATTTTGGTGACTTTTTTTATATTGCTGGTCCCCAGTGTGGTGAAGTGGATCGACTAGGACCCCAGGAGAGCTGAGTTCAAATCCTTGCTCAGCTATGGAACCCACTGGGGGAGCAGAACTGGTAAAGCCCTCCTTAAATATCTCACTTCCTTTGAAAGACCGATTAGAATCAATATAAGCAACATGCGCTCCCTAGCTACAGCCACCCATGCAGCCACCCCTCGTCCAAGCTAGCCTGGAGGACAGCCAGCCTGCTCCATGCACAGTGAAGACAGAGCCACTGAAGCTGACCCCCCTCAGCAAAAACGACATTGCCAGCCAACCAGTTTTGGGAGGCTTCCCAGGTACTCTGGCACTGGTTTAGCTAGGACTGATTTTGCCCTGGCCGGGCGGGTGGGGGGAGAATCAGCCAGCAGCTCCATTTTCACCACATTAAAACATGCCTCTGAAAGAAGCGTTTTTGCCCCAGATGGTAAAATGTAACAAGCCCATTGCAGGTTCTCTGCAATGTTGAATTCCAGCTGCAGAGCCATCAGCAGCTGCCGGGCAAGCCCTTCTGCTCTCTCTGAGTTTTTGCTCCAGCGGTTGGCTCGCCCATTGTTCCCCGGTCAGGCAATCTCATTTCGTCGCGGCCGGCAGAACGAAGCCACCGTGCGCCTGGAGAGTGTTGACTTCCCCCAGTGCACATAAGCGTAGAGCTTTTCAGCACAACATAGAGGGAGGCGACCGTCTGGAAGTACAGCATTTTCAGCCCATTGCAACATAAACGAGATTTTGGAAATGGCTAACATAGAGGGAGGCGACCGTCTGGTTGGAAGTACAGCATTTCCAGCCCCTTGCAACATAAACGAGATTTTGGAAATGGCAGCCAAAGAGAGAGAGAGAAAAAAGAAAGAAAAAACAGGGGTTAGGCATTGCCTGGCATGTCTGAGACAAGCCACAGCTATGTATGGTCTCACCAGGTTCACAGAGCAGTACTGATGTGTTTTTCCTTGCCTCTTTCCCTTCTGATACCCTCCAGGGTGGGCCATGTGGGGTCCTGGCAGCTGTCCAAGCCTCTGTCTTGGGACACCTTATCTTCGGCGACGGCGTCAAGAACAGCGATACTCGGTAAGTCAACAGCCCCAAAGGCCTCCGTATTTTCCATTCCAACTGGAAGAGAAATCCCCGCCATTGTTCAGAGGGGAAAAGGGGTCTTCCTGATCTTGACCTTATTTGAAGGGAGCTCAAGCACAAGTTGAGGAACTGGCATTGACCAGGAGGCTAATGGACGCTGCCCTTGAAATATTCAGTCGGGTGTCAATATTGCTGGAACCTTAGCAGGAACAGTACACTTAAGTGCATGCATGTACACAGGGGCACCCACCCAGCAAAATCTCTTCTTGTGCCAGTCAACCCACCCGCGGCCCAAGTGTGAAACTCCTGGCTCTCGGAAGCACTGCCAAGTTGCTTTTTCTCCCATAGAAAGGCAAGCTAGCCTTTCATATCCGTGGAAGAAAACAAAAAAAGAAAAAGAAAAAAGATGCACAAGCAGCTAGACGATGGTTCCAAATGAATAAGCACAGAAGGCCAGCATGTGGGGTTGTCACAGCTACGCTGTGCTGAATCCTTTGAATGCTTCGAATTGAAGCTTTGCAAGATTCCTTTCCATCATCGGTTTTAGGGGTGCCATTAAGACCTTTCTGTGCACAATAAAAATAGTTGCAGCTAAGAGATTTCTGCACACGATAAAAAATATATTGGAGAAAGGGGAAGAGCGTCACTCAGTATTCCACACTTTGTGTGGGAAACATTTCTAATTTAGTCCACTGTCACTGGAGATAAAGTGGAGGGACCACCATCTTTGAGGGGACCACGGACCACTGGGGTACGGAGTACTGAGCCACAAGGACCGATGGTCTCATTTGGGATAAGTCAGCTATCTCTGTTTTAAAGAAGTGAGCATGGTTTTGGGAACGGATGTATGAGATAACAAATACAGTATATGCATCACTGGAGCTGGAAGGAGGTGCTGTGAGAAATACAGGAAGCGATGTTGTATTGAGTCAGACCACCAACCCACAGAGGCCTATATTGTTGACTCTGACTGGCAGTCCTAACTCTCCAATGTTTTAGCCAGAATTCTTTCCTAGCCCTCCTTGGAGATTCCCCCACTAACCCATTCAAGTATAAGCCCCAACAAACCTTCCCAAATCAGAGGAGATCAAGTGAGTCCATGAAGGAAAGGTAGACTGTATCGTACTTTGATCTCCCTAGGTGCTCGTGATGGAAATCAGGAAGCCCCATTTTACTGTTGCTCCATCTGACCCACTCTTGGCAGCCACTCTGACTGGCAGAAGCAGGGTTTGAAATCTCCTTCTGGAGCTTCCAAGGAAGAGGACCCTCTGTATGCAAAGGGCTTCGTGTGCCACTGAGCTGTGGTCTGTACTACAGGAAGGAATACACATTGACCACCCAGCCTTTCTCTTTTTGATATTCATCCAGACTCTCCTCCTTCATTACTGGACAGACTTTTGTTCTGTTTTTTAAACAGTGAATCTGTTGCGCCGTCGGTCTGATCCTCTAGGCATCTTAGTTAATTTTGCTAATTTAGTGGATGTTGAACTGGGCTTCCTCCCCATCCTACATTTAAAAACGTACACAGATTCTGCACCGTGCATTAAATCAACCAGGATCATTATTGAAGGGTGCATGTTTGCTAGTTCTTGAAATGAGAGAGAGAGAGACACTTCCCTCCCTTTCTGTCTCTCTCTAAAAGGTCTTTCTGCCTACATTGTTCTAAACTGTAATGCTTTTTAGAGCTTTTGACAAAGACGCCACTCAAATCTGAGACGGTCCCGAGTGTCAGGCTGAGATTTAAGCCTGCTCAATGTTCCCACCACTGGCTGTAAAAGATCTAATGATTTAAGAAGACAAAACAGCAAATCAAAGCAAACGAGATGAAAGAGAAGACTTTGGTGTTGTGTTCATTTGCCTTTGGGACAAAGTGGAACGAGGGCCTTCTTCCTTTGTCTTTGAAGGGCGTTGGATATTTGAGCAAAGATAAGGAGAAGCAAGATCCTGTGCCACCCGCAACCAATCTGGATGCCCCTGGAGGGCGTTTGCACTCCTTGTGTAAGACGTACACTCATTGGGGGCTCCAATCAAGAGGTCTACTTGGCCAAGTCTCCGTTCCACAATCTAAGGGATGGTCAAGAGCTATAGGATGGCTGTTCGGATGGCGTTCTCACCAGTCCTAGCTAGAATCGCCCTTGGTGGGGGCTGATGCAACTTGTATTTCAATAACTCCTTCCGTATCTCCGTGGGAGACTGGTGTTTGGAGGAGAAAATCAGAAGCGATTCATGATGGGACGCAACACAGCGGTAGGCCAGAATCCTCATGGGTCTTGGGAAGTGGGTGAGTCCCATTGCCACTGTCGCTTAGAACAGGCCATTGGCTAGAGAATGTCACGCCTTGGACACTATGCTCCTTACCTGCCCCCCAAAGAGACAGTTACTTCCCCAGCCGTGTGGAGCTGCCTCTTGGCCGCTTGCCATCTTGGGAGTGAGTCTCCTTCTCCTTAGCTTCAACTCACGGCAAAAGCGATTTACCCACCTCTCCTTCTGATGGCGCTCTGGAGCCACCCTGAAGCTTGTCCTAGGCTGCCCAGGGGGGCAGGTCGTAGAAACCCATCAGCCACTTCTAATATGGGGGATCTCAGATGACCCTGCCTCCCAAGATCCACGGTGGGGGATTTCGAACTCTTGGCCCTTGGCCACCAGGCTATCCAAATCGGAAAGTATATATGGAACTCCTGCTGTTAGGTCAGAGCTGGAGAACCTTTCTGGTCTGCCAGGTCTGGAATCCTTTCCTGTTGGCCATTCTAGATGGAACCTGTGAAGGTGGTCACCTGAGATATGAGGAGGGCCAAAGAGTTTCACGGTAGGGCAGGACAGAGCGCCTGAGGTTCCCTCCTGTGCTCCCCCCAGCCATGCGTAGAGCATGAGGTCCCCAGAGTTCAGGCAAAATCAGGAGAGCAAAGTACCATCCCATGTGGCATTATTCTGACATTTTACTGACGTCATCTTAGTTTGTCAGATTCCACAAGCCGAGCGGTCCTTTCATGAGAAACATGCAAAGCCTTCCTTTTGTAAGCTGAGAAAGGAGGAGGCGTAAAAAGCCAACATTTTCATTAATGCCCACTTATCTGTGTTTTGTTTTCCCTCCGCTGCTGTGCAAAGTGTCTCTCCTGAGGGAGCTTTCTGCCCCACCTCTAATCATCTTCTCCCACATCCTAAAGAACTGTCCATCCCACTCCTGATACCTGGCCTAAAATGGGCCCCTTTTTAAAATGTCATCCCATTATTTCTGCTTTTAACCAGAATGCCATGCACACCATTTCCTCTGCTGCATCATATTTTTTGCAGCTATTTCCAGACCGATGCCATCATCAGCTCTGTCCCACCGCTGTTTCTCTTGCCCTGATTCCTCCATTGGTTGGCATGACACCAAATGAAATTAATCAGCCCTATAAAGAAAGGGAGAAGAATCTCATGCTTTGAACTGCGAACCCAAATGGAAAGTCCTCTAAGAACATGGTTTCCACACTCAAGGGAGGGTCGGGTTCGTGCATCTTTCATAGTTTACAAGGAAAAAAGGACCTTTAAGCACATTTCTCTCTCAGAGTGAGGAAGAATAATTTCTGTAGCGCAGCTCCCAGAATTCTCAGAGTTATAACCCCCCCAACCCAGTAACTTTTCCAGTCTCTGAGCCTTATTTATTTGTCTATTTGAAACCCTTCTATGCCACCTTTCTCCCCAAAAGGACTCAAGGTGGGTTACCTCACGGAGCCTTTCCTATGGAATTGCCCTCATAAACTTCTGCCTGTGAGGGGGGGAAAAAACTCAGTCTCACTTTCTTCCTTATTTGGGGTTTCAAATCCCAAGTTGGCTGAGGCTGCAAACCTTTGGGGCATGTTGGGAAGGGATACCAAACAGAAGCCGAAACAAAATTTTGGCCCCGTTGGCTGAATCAGGGGGGCACACCTCTCCCCAGGCCACAGAGGGTCATGCTATCTCCAGCTTGCCCTAGAGATTTTGGAGATGAGGAGCATCTTGGCAGTGCTGACCCAAGCTCTCCGCCTGCCTGAGGGTGGAAGCGAATGTCCGTCCAATGCTGGCCATTCCTCTACCACCACCACTCTGTGGGAACACTAATTGCACCCGCTTCTCAACTATTGGGGAGGAAACCTGGCTTTGGGGCCTTCACGGCCAAATCATTCTGGGAGAGGTTGCCAAAAAAATCACCTGTGATCCTATTCCTAGGTAAAAGTAAAGGTTCCCCTTGACCTTTAGTCCAGTCGTGTCCGACTCTACGGCGTGGTGCTCATCCCCGTCTCCAAGCCATAGAGTCAGCATTTGTCCGTAGACAGTTTCCATGGTCACTTGGCCAGCGCGACTAGACACAGAACGCCATGACCTTCCACCATGGTGGTACCTATTTATCTACTCGCATTTACATGCTTTCAAACTGCTAGGTTGGCAGGAGCTGGGACAAGCGACGGGAGTTCATTCTGTCTCGTGGATTCGATCTTACAACTGCAGGTCTTCTGACCTTGCAGCACAGAGGCTTCTGCGATTTAACCCATAGCGCCACCACATCTCTAACCCTCTTCCTACAGTCCCCCAAAATTGGCATGATCTCAATGACCAGCCAAGAAGCGGCCATGTAAACGATATGGACAAGGGGACATTTTTAAAAGAAAAAGGCAGTGGTTAGTGGCTGCGGGCAATCAGGTAGCAGTATGTGGGGGCTGGCGGTGGCAGCTCCATTTGGCTGATGATGGGGCCATCCCTGCCCTTGAAGAAGCAGGTATCCTTGATAACCAGCTTCTTTGTTCACATAACATAAGCAGACCATGTCTTGTGCTTCTTTTACTTTCTCCAAACACAAGGTGCCTTCAACCTTCAGAAGCTCACAGGACCAAATGCCTTACTTTGGCTCTGGCTGACATTTTATGGCGGGCAGGCGGCAACAAGAAAGCTGTAGTTACCTTGTAAGTAAAAGGCACATTTAAATACATCTATTATATCTATATCTAATCTACATCTGTATATAAGGATAGATAGATAGATAGATAGATAGATAGATAGATAGATAGATAGATAGATAGATAGATAGATAGATAGATAGATAGATAGATAGATAGATAGATAGATAGATAGATAGATAGATAGATA